TTGGCCCTTGTTCCTGGACGCTGACGCATGCCCAGGCACCAGGGGGGCGGAGATCCATCTAAGATCGAGTCTAGCTACGACATGCTGGGAAGATACGGGTGGGAGGGAGTTGCATGCCCTCAGAAGAGAGCCGCTCACCCAGTGCCACCAGAACAGTCAGGACAGCCGGACTGTAGAGGGAGGCTCTGCGTTCAGGAACCATGTTCGAGAAAACAGGCCTTATCGAACATAACCACGCCCCATCATCTCTTATGCCTTATGCCTAACAAGATTGTTGCCTCTGAGATCCCTCTGAACGGTGAGATGGGGTTCACGTGCGATTCCCCCGGGGCGGTCTGTGTGAGGTCGAGCACAGGTGTGGTGTGCTTTGGACAAGGGATTTTCCGAAAGGCTCCAGCTGCACCCGCAGTCTGAGCCGAGGCTCCCAGCGTCCCGTATGTGGCGGGGTTCCTCCACACGCCTCCGCGCACAGTAGCAGCCTGGGTCAGGAAGCCTCAGGAGGGCTTCGGAGCTCGGACTCACGGCTTCCTGAGGTCAGTGACCTTGGTTCTGGGTCCCATCAGCCAGGGGAGCTGCCCGTCCAGTTCCCAGGTCCTCTTTGCTGCTTCCCTTCCCCCACAACCCCTCCAGACGAGAAGCCTGGATGTAGGGATGAGCACAGTTCTTCAGGTGGCACTCTGCCTTTGGATCAGGGGCCCAAGACCACATTTTCCTTTGGGTATCGGAGTGGCAGAGAAGAGAAAGCAGTTGGCTTGAGGAGGTCCAGATCTGCTCAGCGCCAGGGCATCTGAAGCCCCCTGGAGCATCTGGACAGTTAGCTCACGGGACCCAGACCCGATTTTCAGGCGCGCCCTTGGCTGCCTGCACCCGCTCTCGGTTTGGTTGGCTTTGCGGTGGCTTTGCAGAGCCTCCTTGCCCTGTGGCTGAGGGAGCTGGGGGAGCACAGCAGCTGCTCGGCCTGCAGGGTGACGACGGTGATAAGCACGTCTCGAATTAATGTGATAAATAAGAGATGCCCACCAGCCGGGCACTCTCCCCGGCTTACCTCTTGAACCTGATTACGTGGAGGCTTATCCGTCCGGAGTCTTGGATCTCAAATGAGAAATATATCTTCTATTCCTCCCTCTGATTCCTTTTTTAAGCCTCAATTTGTCCATTTCCCTTAGGATAATAATCCCTTCCACCCCCACGTACACTGTGGGAATACATTTGCTTTGGTGAGAAAGACAAGGGTTGCCTTAAAAGAAAAAAAAAATGTTGGTAAGAACTAGCATTTCTAGTTGTGTACCTACTTAAACCAAAATCTGTTTTGATAGAGGATCTATTATCTGGCACTCACCGTTTCAGTCCTATGAGACAGTCACTTAAAGGTTGTTTTGTTTTTGGTTTTTTTGGTGTGTTTTTTTTAAATCAGATATAGCCGTTCTGATTCATAATGATGTTTATTTTTTTTCCTCCAAATTCTAATCCTATGGAAGAATTTGACTGATTGTATTATTGCCAGGAATAGTAGAGGTTAACTATTCAGTAATGTTGCCCTTATTATTAGTCAACTGCTATTGTTAGCCAGTACCTAAAGGCTCTAATACTCATCCCTAGTTTAGAACATGAAGGGTTTCTGCCCTTGGGAAGCATGTGTTAAAAAGGGATCAGCTAGGAGGGAAATCCACAGTTCCCCTCGATATTTAAATGGCTTGGTTATATTGAAGACAGGGAAAGTCACGGAGTGAGGTACAGTGTGTAACCCTATGATGTGCCACAGTCATCTGCAGTCCTAATGGCTGGAGGTGAGAACAGCCACACCGAGAAGCCCTTTTAGACAGTGAAAGTTCTGGCCCCTGAGTCCTTGTTAGGCCAGGAGAGTAGAGCACACAGACATGCTTCCAGAAGAGGGGACCTACGACTCTCTTCCACATTGCAGCCCGTGGCATGTCTGTTGACAGTACTCATTCATTCTGCAAGCATTTACCTAGTACCTCTCATGGGCCTAGTATTGTCAGCCTCTGAGAGCACCTTGATGTGGGCCTGCCTCCATGCGGTGTAAGAGGAGAGGCAGTGCCATTAACAGAAAACAGTGCGGTCTGTGCAGTGGGTAGCCAGGTAGCCATAGCCACAGGGTGCTGGAGGAGCACTGAGGACCCAAGGCTCACCTTCTAACAGGAGTGTGGCAGGGAAACAAAACGGAAGGCTCACGGCAGCCTTCCTGGAGGAGGTGGTAGCGGAGCTGGATGTAGAAGCCAGATTCAGAGTTAGACTACTGTTCGAGTCCCACTTTTGCCACCCACTGGGTGTACGGCTTTGGATAAGTTCATAAGCTCATTAAATCTCAGCTTCGTTATCTAAAGCATGCAGGTAACACCGTTAGCTGCCTCACGGAATTGTTTAAAGGTTAAATGAAATAATAAATGTAAAGGGCTCATCAGAGTGCCTGAAACCTGCCGTGGCTTGTAACTAAAACTGATAATGACTACTGTCATCATTTGCCGGACCTTATTCATAGGGAAACACGTTATTATGTGAATAATTAGTTATTTAGTTGTGTATAGCTATCACGAAGAGAAGGGACTTTAACAGTGGTTCTGATTAATTCATTTGCAGCCCAAATAAAACAGTGAATCCAAAAATCAAAATTAGCCCCTCCAAAAGTCACAGGTCCTCGTAGCAAAGGACCCGTAGAAACTAGGAGAAAAACGGGTAGAATTTTTGTTTAGTATTTGTTCATTATTGTTAGTTGCAGATGAATTAGTGACTAAATATTTTAAGCGTTTCTCAGTTTTGATTTCCAGTGTGGCAAAATATCAGTGGATACAACCCATATAAGCAGAATCTCTGGGCGGAGTCTTGGGAACTCTGCAGAGTCTATAAAAGGATCCTGAGACCAGGAGAATTGAGAACCAGTGTTCTAAGGAACAAGATCTTCCTGGAACGCTGTTCCCCTTGGGCTGCAGGGAAGCAGGAAGCTGCAGAACATCCCTGCCTGGCATGTGTAGAAGACGCCTTCAGGCTTTTTTGACCAAATGTTAATAATAACTGCTTTCTGTCTCTTCCAGTGGGTGCCTCTCAGTCTTGGCCACAGAGTAGAATCCCTGGAGTGATTCGCAAGAGGCCTGCCCATGCCAAACTCTTGCAAGAGTTAGGGATTTGGTTCGCCTGGGCCCAGCTACAGCATTGTGGTCTTTTAAATCTCCAAGTGATTCTTATCTGACGCCCCGGTTGAGAACCACTGTTCAAGGTGGTCAGTGAGAAGGCGAACTGGCCTGGTGACGTCAGAATATAGCAACAACAACCTTGTTTATTTAGTTGAAATTTAGCTGCTGCTAAAAGTCTCAGGAAAACTATATCAAATCCTTGTTCTCAAAGTTAAAATATTTCTTTTCCATAAAAAAGTCCAAAACAAAACAAGACCCAGAAAAAAAAAAAAATCGACAGCAGTCTAATCATTTTGCTACTTTGATTTTTTTTCTTTTTTTTTTTTAAGTAGTCAGACACGCTTTGTCTAAGCAAGGGTCAGTCCTTAGCGGAACTTCCTGAGTTCTGGATCATGATGGCAACGGCTGGTGTCTTTTAACTGAGCCTCGGGTTCCTCCTCCCTGCAGCCCCGTTCCCTCTGCAGGACTCACTGGCCATTCCCAGAGGCACCCTCCTCTCGCTCGTCCCTGTGGGCGCTCTGTGTGGCTTATCCGCAGAAGGCAGATTCCCAGTCTGCTTCCGTCCGCCTCCCGTGAGCCCCCTCCAGCAAACCCCCGCTGAAGGATGTGACAGTATTCAGAAGTACCCATGTTTCCTTCATGTTGGAACAGTCATAGCACAATATGGGTGGCCAGCCTCTTGCCGCAAATACTCTCAAGATGAATCAATTGTGGTGCATCTCAAAGCCCCAACAGAAATTACTTTTATACTCACAATTTCATCTTATCCAGAGTATAACCAGCTCCGGTTTTCTGGAGTGTTCAGTGTTTGTCTTTATCGATTATCACTATTTTAACACCATGTCGGAACGTCTCTCTCCCTGGTACCCTTCACAATAAATTAAAAATGAAGAATGCGGCAGTGATATAAATATCATCAGTTCGCAGTTTGAAATAACTGAGATGCCTTCTCTCAGCTCCGAGACCACACCTCTAAGAGGGAGTGTCGGGAAGAGGTGAGGACCCAGCCCCCTGAGCAGGGAGTGGTCTCCAGCCACCAGGCCTCATAGATGGGCAACATGAGGAGGAAGGAGGCGTTTGATTTCTGAATAGAAGTTCCTTTACCCACTTCCTTTGACTAGTGGATGTGCTTGGTCTGCTCATCTCCTTAGCTGTTTAGGACAAGTTTTGACCCTGAGGCACACGGGTACCACTCCTGAACCCAGGGGCGTTTGCTGTAGTCTATCCTCCTGGTTCAGCCTTGACAGTGAACATCTGCTTGAACCTAGGGCCAACGTGTGCTCTTCCTCCTATCGTTAGGTCATGTCCTAGAATGTGGTTCCAAATCTAGGGATGTTGGCCCACTCTTGAAGGCCAGGGAGAGGACTGGCAAGTTGCTGGGTTTTTATTAAGAATGGCCTTCTCCATCCCCAGGAGGCAAGGCTGACTCTTGCCCGGCCCTCTGGTGGTTTCTAGGCTTAGACCCGGCCAGGTGTGCTCTGTCACTTCCCTTTGTAGTCCTTCATTTATGCCACGTTCCAGCATGAGCGTCACAGCCGTGTGTCCAGCTCTACCCCTCTCCTGCCCCCAAACACTCGCACTGTCTTAGACTCAGCTCCCGGTTGGAGCACTTCCCCTAGCATGTGCTCTGGTTGTTGACGAAAGATTAGCTAGAGTGGAGGACGGAAACTCCCGTTCCAGGCCATGATGCCTGTCTATATTTCATGGACATCCAACTCGGAGACACCATGGGGGAAGGAGTGTGTGTTCGTCTTGAACTTGTGTCTGTGTGCGGGAGGAGGCGGGTGGATGGCTGGTTGGGCAGGTCTGTCCTTTTACTTCTGATGCCGTCTTCTCGAAAACCCCCCACAGGCTCTGTCCACGCCACATCCGTGGCAGCATCCAGAGTGGAACAGGCACTGTCAGAAGTGGCCTCGTCTCTGCAGAGCAGTGCCCCCAAGCAGGGCCCGCTACACCCCTGGATGACGCTGGCCCAGATCTGGCTCCATGCAGGTATGGCTCTGCCCCCACCCACACCCCCACGGCCATGCCAGATGCCGGGGGAGCCTGTTTACCTATGACCCCTCTCTGGAGGGTTTTTGAGAGATCGAAGCAGTCACAGGTCAGAATGCCACAGCTGCTTTGCAGGAACCATGAGTTCCTCTGTGTCTCCCCGTCGTGCCCCAGAACCTGGTACAGAGCAGGCAGGCAGCCAAGATGACCCGATTGGCCTCTGAGGGGCCCAGGGAGATCACCGGGTGGGATGCTGGCTGTGTGCCCTCAGAGGAGCCAGAGAGCGACAGACACCGAGGCTTGCTTCGCAGGGGGCACAGCACGGCAGGGTGCCCCAGGCAGAAGTCCAGAAGTTCTGTCCTCTACCAGCTGTATAGACGGGAGCTAATCACTTCACCTCAGCTGGGGCTTCCTCATCTTGGGGGGGAGGGGCATGGAGGGGCGGATACTAGCACCCACCTCCTGGGGTTGACGAGCTAGTACCTGGCACATTCCGCGGGGACATCCTTGGGAGAGGGGACATGTGTGTCGATGACTCAGAGGTCTTCATCAAAACCCCGGGAAGGGGCAACACTTTCGATGTCCCTGCATACCCCAACCTGGCACTCCTGCCAACCCACAGAGCAGGGAGAGGGGAGCAGCAGCCGCAGAACTGGAAACCAGCCCAGTGAGCAGAGAGGACCGCCCCTCCTCCAGCTTCACATGGGTGCCGCTACTGAGCTGAAAATCCCCACGATCCATCCCACAAGTGGGCAGTGTAGCGAGGAGAACCCCACTAGGCAGAGGCTCTGGGCAAATGGTTGCTGGTGATTTACTGACATTATGTTTCTATACGAACGGTGACCTCTGTTCCTCGAGCTTTATCACCAGGTCTGCAAGATGTCACCTGGGCCTTCCCAGGCCGGACCCTCAGGGTGCACAGTGGAAGGCCAGGTTTGGCTGGGGAAAGTGCTTATTATCCACCATTGTCCGTCTGTTTACTCCTTTTTTGCCAAAGCTAATTGTGTGCTGGTCAGCCTTGTTTGGAACCGTTGGCAGACCTCCATGTATGAAAACGTGCTGGGATTCACCTGGCTTCAGTGTGTCACGAAGTGCAACTCCGCCAGGCTCCTCTGTGTTGGCATCTTTAATGGAGCCATAACAACTACCATAAATTAACAAATTACATTCTTCTAAGCAGAAATACAAAAGAGGGATGACTCATGAATGTACTGATTGTTCTTCCAGTGCAGACACTTGCCAGCATGTGGCCTCTCGCTGGGTCCCAGAGGAGCCAGCATGCAGGGTGCAGGGACAGCGGTAATGCCCTGCCCCCGACGCCCTGTGCCCCCGTCTAGGGCCTGGCGCCTGTCCCATTCAGTAGCCCTCACGAGCAGTGACTGCAGAGACCTCGGAGAGAAGCCTGGAAAGGCTGCAGAGTCTGGGCCAGGAGAGACTGGCTGGCCCTGCAGGGTCAGTGTGGGGGGCCGAGGTGTCTTTCGAATTGGAATTGAAAGCGAGATTTGAAGGGCCAGCGTCTTAAAAAAACCCAGCAGCGCTAAAGGCAATCCTTCAAGGCTGAAATGAACTTCCTTGACCTCACAGGCATTGCTCCTCTTCCCTGTTTCCTGGAAAAGTCAGTGACCCAAGTGAGGGTCACTAAGTTCCAGGACTGTTTCTCCTGCTGGCTTGCTGCCCGTTTTTCAGTTATCCAGACTCTGTTCCTTTCTGCGTGTCCCCCATGACTCTCAGGAGGAAATTTGGTAGCCACTGATTAGAACATTGAAGAACTTGGTGGCTAAGATTCAGTTTGGAGATGTCCTTGAATTTGGACCTAATTGCATGATATCCACTTCTCATTGGCATAGCCTGTAGCACAGGATAAACCTCTCGTTGGTTAATGGGTGTGCTTTTAACGTTCTATAAATTGGTGGGATTGAACAATTAAAACGAACGCCAAACCTGCCTTCTAAAGTCTGGACAGAATATGCAGGGGGCTTTTGTTGTACGAAGGAATTGAGTAAATTAGAATCTTTATAGGATTTGTGCCATATTGACTCTTTCAAAGCAATGACTTGGTTTACATCAAGATTTAGAACCGCATCATATATTCATATGGTCTTTGAAGAGGTAACTTCAGAATGAACTCAGAGAACAGCTTCTTCTGATCTGTAAGGTTTTACCACCTGTGGTATGAGCTCTGCTGCTCCTACAGGCAAAATAACAGTGACACCCCCTCCTTACTTTTGGACAATTTATGGTTCCATCATTAGGTCTAAAGTATTATGGCCAGATTGTGTAAATTTTACAAGCTTTGGAAGAAACTTCCAAAGATCAAGGCCTAACACCCCCAGGCCATGGTGTTTCTATGGCATTTGTGGGTCTCTTCTCTCTTGGTTGTTTTCTCTGGTGAGCTTAGTCTAGTGGAGCTCATGACAGGAGCCCATGGTGAGGGGACCCCAGATTTGAGGCTTGCAGGTGAAGTCACTCTGAGACAACCTTGGATTTCCAGCCTATTGTATGAGCAGGTCCCTGGGCCATGGGTATGTCCATTTGAATAGCAAAGAGATCATGAATTGGACATTAAGCCACCTGCTGCTCTGTGAGGGGGTGGGCCAATGGCCCAGCAGGGAGCCACAGATCCTGGAAGACGATAGTGTTTGACGGCACAGGGCCCCTCCATTCCTGAGGGGTGAGACCCACTCCCTGGGCACACACACCCCCCCCACCCCGTGCCTCCCCTCCGATCCTGCACACCTCTGACTCCAGTGTCTCGGGCTTTTCACCAGGACACCTGGTGGCTGACCAGCATGGGTTGTGTGTGTTTTGTTCCTTAGTTTGTTGGGGCCTATGTTTTGAATAAACAGTACCTGCAAATCGTAAACGACTGAAAAGGTACAAAGGATGAGAGTGAGAAGTCTCTATCCTTCCCCTGAGACTCAGCCACCATTGCCCCCAGCAACCACTGCTAGCAAGCCCCTGTGCGCTTTCCAGGGCTGTCACACACACTGGGACGTCCCTGCTTATCAGCGTACCTAACACTGACTCAGACTTTTTACCAGCCGCATAGAATAAATCCATTGTGTGAATTTACCATAATTTAAACAGTACTCCATTAATTGACAGTTAGATTATTTCTAATATTTTACAGATAATACATCAATAAGTATCCATCTATATATTGCGTATAAGATAAAAAGATAAAATTTAGATAAATTAGGTAAATTTAGATAAATTTCTAAAAATGGAATTGATGGATCAAAGGGTGTGTTCTTGTTAATTTTGATAAATTTTGTCACACTGGCTTCCACAGAATAGTACCAATCCACAGCCCAGCCAGTAATGTGCGAATGCCCATTTTCTTACATCCCTATCAGCACAGAGCATTCTCAGACTTCTAGATCTCTGCCAGTCCGATCGGTGAAAAGTGGTATTTCAGCTGTCTGTTCATGGCTTCTGCTCATTTATCTTCTTAGACACTGAGCTTTCCTTTTTCATTTGTAAGCATTTATTATGTGTCAAAGAAATGTGCCTCGTGTCTGTGATACAAGCTATAAATATTTTCTCCTGTCTTTATTTTGTTAGTGTTCACGTTTGTCTTTCTTTCTTTTTTTTTTTTTTTTTTTTTTGCCAGTCTTTAGAAAATGCATTTATCCATCTTTTCTTTATGGCATCTGGGCTTTACATGACATTTACCTATTTTTACGGTTCCCTTTCCTAAAATTCCAAGTATCTTCTGGGGCCGTTCGTATAAAGACCGTCTTACAAAGAAGGTCAGAAGGGGTTATCTCCACCACTTTGCAAGAGGGAAACCCAGGCCAGGTAGAAATAAGTGTCTATGGGGTCTAACTAGGGCGGGAGTCAGAGTCAGGGGAGCTGCCTTAGAGCATTTGAAGTTTACTATACTGCAAAACCCATCTCCCTGGAAGCCATACCGCTTCCTTAGGATGGAACCTCATGGTTGGCCATCAGAGACTCAGACATTTGCTGATACTCCGGGCTGAACCAGAGCCTTTGCCAAGCCACGCGGCTTTTTGGTGCCCATCTCTTAATTTCCACATTGGGATGGCAGCTAAAAATGACTTTGCGGTAGGTGGTTAATTTCTGCTTGTTACGTACTAATAATTATAGCTTTCACTTTGGCACTCTCACAGTTGAAACCAACAGCTATTCTTAGATGTGCAAGATCAGATTTTCTGATTTCTACGGCGAATTAAAGCCGCGATACTCTCTTGATACTCTCTCGAATTCCCCAGCCCTGGCCTGGCCTCTCCTGTTCCCTCACCCCCCTCCCAGGCTCCTCCCAGAGGCTGCATCGGCAGGGTGGAGGGGGCATCCTGTGGCCAGGCCCCCAGGAGAGATGAGGCCTGTGCCCAGGCAGGTGGTGTGTGTGTCCCTGCACAGGGAGCCCCTGCAGGAGCAAACACACGGGTCCCCCCACCCCCGGGGTCAGGCCTGCCTCATTCAGGGCCAGTCTAGATTAAGCAAACCCCACCCCCACCCCCACTCCCCCACCCTTGCTCCTGCCCTGGGGGGGTTGATTAATGATCTACACCTTTATCGAGCACCGCCCATATGTCAGACTTTATCCCAAGGACTTTGTGTGTCTTAATTTGTTTTGTCCCCATGAGGTATAAATACCTTATTCACCCCACTTTACAGATGAAGAAACTGATACACAGCTCTCAAGTCTCTTGCCTATTATTACCTGGCTAATAAGTGCAGAAGCCAGAACTCAGAGCCAGCCAGTGTGGCCCTGGCACCCCAGCTGTAAGCCAGGGTGAGCACTCGGGCGGGCAGCACAGTGTCTTCAAGCATGTGTCTATGGGGCAGCGTCAGAGCAAGGCTCAGGAGTCAGTGGTCATGACGACAGTCCCTGCCTTGATGCAGCTTACAGACGTGAAACAAAACAATTAGAGAAGCACTTCATTCTCATGGTGCCAGGTGCCATAAAGGGGCAGCATGGTCCCCTGGGAGAACTGGCGGCAGCGGTTGTCCCTACACCCAGAGGCAAGGGAAGG